ACCAAGCGGTGGCGTGCCGGCGCCAAGTTCGGAACTGGACCGATGCTGCAGGGTGGACCTTAAGCCTCGTAGTCAGATCGATCCAACTCCAGGGATCGATCCCGGCCGGCCGGCGGTCGATCCTTTAAATAGGCCGTCCAGGCAGGCTTATGCCATGATTCGCTGTCCCGACTCACGGTCGCCACCATCAGCTTTAATTGGTTATGCCGAACCGTGTTCACCCACGCTCGCAGCGTCGGTTGTGGCTTGGCACCATGTGGGGGCTTTCCTTGGGCCAGACTCCGCTGCTTGACGCGCTCTGTGCTCAGTTCTGCTTGATCTTGAAATCGACAAGCGACCCGAGAATGAGAGCATTAAAATGTCAGTGTCAGGGAATCCTATGAAAAGCGATGAGCCTGTAGTGAGGGTGATCTCTTAACACGCATCGATCGAATGAAAAGCACCAGTAATAGTGCCGATTTCCGGACCACAAAAAAGACGCTGCAGACGGCATCTATCCAAAATTCAAGCTGGCGTTCGTTATTCCGAAACCAAAATCGCATTGTTCGACGTGATTGTTAACCTTACAAAATGACCATATTAAAACTATTTTTGTTCCCGATGCTATCCCAAAATGCCTCCATTTCTCATCAAACCATCCTTAACACATCCCAAATATCGTGACTTTAACGTTCGTAATGCAATTGAAAAGAAGCTGTACTTGCCAAAGTGATAGTGTCCGGAATGGACAAAATCTGGAAGCTAGGCTTCAAAAAAGGGGAATTCAGGGCAACTAACAATAGCTTAATACAGACTGACAGCATTGAGCGCGGGCGGCTTTTAAGGCAGCAGCAAACAAAGGAAAGCACCAAAGTGTTAGCACGGGTTGTGCTCGTTATAACTTACAATAGCTAACCACCCAACAACAGACAAATGTTTAAGTTAAAAAACAATACAAGTTAGATCACTCCAACCATTTAAGGGACGTATTTAATAGCTAACTCCTGATATCTCACCGAAGGGGACAAGCCTCACACATTATCTGGTACAGGCGACACTAAAAAAAACAACTCATGAACAGTCAGGTGAGAGGCAGACCGGCGTGTGGGAAAGCTGCGCCATCTGTCAGCACAGATATCAGGCGCATGCTTTGGCAAATGAATGGATGGATGTAAACGAGCGAATGGATGTAAAGCAAGCAACGTGTTGTATGGTGATTACTGTAATGTGTGCAAATGTGTGCATTATGTCGGAGACGGGAGATACTTACATACTCGTTCGGCAAACCATTTGTCCATCATCAGGACAAAAACAAACATCGGAGGATGATTCCGTATCCATGCACTTAAGTTCGCGGGGCCATATAATGAAAGATGCAAAATTTGTTGACTTGGAGAGAATGTGGAAAAATGTGGCAAATAAATTGATCAGAGAAAAAGTTTGACCGATATTCTGGAAACATTGCACCTACAAGGAAAGTATACGAAATGTGTCGAGAAGTTCTCTAGACAGAGACCGTCCCACACCCACTGCTGCTGTGTCGATTACTTGTTTCATTGCAGGAAATGGAAAGATCTGTTTGTCCAGACTAATGCAGGTTTGAAGATAACTGAAACGTCCCGCTCCAAAGTGTTAGCATATATATATATATATATATATATATATATATATACATTGCTATAAGAAGGCGGCAAATTTATTCTATGTAAGTGTTGTTCAAGACCATGGCATACACCTAATGAACTTATTTGCACATACTCAAGTTTTCGTATTACTTCCCACCGTTGATCATTAAGGGTAAAAATATCATTCGACGATGTTTGGCATCTATCAATTAGCTTGACGTTTCACAATGACATATTCCATTCCCAAAGTCACACACAACAACAAGGACGAATATATGTTAACAAAAAACGCTTAGGTATAACCATGTTTAGTTTGATCATGAATTTTTATAAAATCTAAATGGGTTGGTGGACACTTTGGGAAGCTAATTATTCGAGACTAAGAAGACCAAATATTCAAACGGCAAAGCCCGTGCTGGAAATAAGTTGTAGCATCTACGGTGTTGACATCAATCATGCCTAAATGAGATCAAGGGTGACTGAGCGGTTGGCTTGTTTGTGGGGCTCTGAAGACGATGCTTAAATTGGGTCAGACCACAGAACATAAAGGCTTTGTCTGTTTGATGAGGATGCGACGATGGCAGTTTTATCTAACGAGGTCGTCTCGGGTGGTGTTCTGGCGGCGTTCTTGCCTCTTTTCTTGTTTTGGGGCACCGTCAGCCAAGTGCATGGTCGACCGTCTTGAGAGTGTGGCGGTAGTAACACCAACATGGTTTGGTTGTTTTGGGAGTCTGCACTCTCCCATGTCACAGAAACCCCTGTAAACCACGTTGGTACGTTTCAAAGGGTCAGGTTTGGTTGCGGGGTTATTTGTCATGATAAACTGGTTGGCTTCTGTTTTAAACATATTATAAGTGTTACCTTGTCATGCTGGCCAAACCATCCATGGCTTGAAGCTGTCAGATATCATTTTCTTGTGGACACGCTCGTCGGTCCTATAGCTTTCAGACATTTGATTCTGGTGGCATAGTTAGATCACATTGTGCTGATGTCGGACGTTATTTGTTTTCGTTTGATATCGTGGCATGAAGATGATAATTTGATGGTCGATAGCGTTGTTGGAGGACTTTGTTTTTTGCGAGGGCTTGTTTGATGCGCTGCAGTTCGCGTTCGTTTGAAAACCCGAGCAAGGGAAAATAACTCGTTAAATGTATGCGAAGGTCTCGAACAACACTTAGATAGCAGAAAATGTCTTGCACTGCCATACCAACATACATAATTATTGCGGTACAAACCCAGTCTGTACGCATTTTGTTATAGCCAGACGATAGTTTGATGCCGGCGCGTTCGGGCTGACGCCTCGCGACGTGCGCTGCGTGGCAATGGCCCCGGTCCTCGCGCGGCCACGGCCGCCCTCGGGAGGCAGCGACCCGCCGCACCATTCTGGCCGGGTGCTGCCACTGTGTACTCGGCACTCTGACTAGCCGCGACTGGCGAGAGCAGCAGTCAGGCAGAGAGCAGAGGCGGCAGCCTGCAGACGTGACGGGACTGCCTGCCTTTCCGGATCGAGGAAAGTGCCCCCCCCCCCTCCCCGCCGGCCGGTCACACACCACCGCTAGACTCTGCTGACGAGCCGGCCCGCCCCGCCGGCCGGTCACACACGATCACTAGTCTCCGCTGACGAGCCGGCAGCGCACCGGAACGCCGAGAAAAGGCGACACCGGGCTGCACGGCGCGTAGGCGAGGCTTGGAAAGAAATTATTGAAGCTGTCTTCATCGGTCACTTCTTGCTTTACATTTTTGTTTTACTACACACCCACACCCACACCCACACCACAACACACCACACGCACACACCACACACACACACACACACACACACACACACACACACACACACACACACACACACACACACACACACACACACACACACACACACACACACACACACACACATATATATATATATATATATATATATATATATATATATATAGAGTAATATGTTGCACTTCATAGCGTATTGTACACTCAAGTAAAACAGGGAGCTAAGTATGTCGATGACGTTATGCATTAGAAACACCAGTGCCGAGATAATCAAGAACCAAAATATGTAATGACCCCAGAAAAGGAGGCCACACCAGCCGACCTTAACAACCCAGAAATGAGATAACATCACTGTAAATTCTCTGCTGCATTAGCTGACCTGTACATACTCATCCCTTCCTGGCCACCAGAACCCATTGTGTCGTATCCAATCGAGACAATGCTCAGCGCACATAAGCATGCGCTAGATAATTAGACCCTGAACGTTGGTCTCCCTTATCCTAATTCCCTCCATTCTGCCCACCCATGTTATTCCGTGGCCACCACGCGAAAAGCATTGCCCGGCGGGCCGTTTTTTTGCGCAGCCATGCATGTCCGACACGCCGAGAAAGCGCACCGGCCGCCAGATGATGGGCCCAGCTGCGGCAGCAGCCAGGCCCAGGGCGGACCTGGCGGGCCGCCTCCACTGACGCCGCCAGGCGTCCGCCCCGGGTTGCGAACGATGCGTTGCACATCATACTTGGGATCGTTTATCTACGTGCGGTATAAGGGAGAATCCAGATTGCTGATTCAAATGGCTTGGATGCGAGCCAGCTCATTTATATCAATTACTGACGTGCTGTGGCATCTTTCCCTGTGCAACTTTCAGGTCATGAATAATACACATTGATGTAGCACCTTCTCTATTCCGCTTTCTCTCGTCCTCTTTTCGGAGCAAGCGATCAATTCCACTGTTTGGAAACTTGGGGCCTTCTCTGGCTACATGATTGTAACAATTTCCATCCTAAATCTAAAGCGAGATGAGCTTTAACTGACGCGGATATTCCAGTACAGATCTCGTTTAGGATCCGTGAACAGCTCTTCCATTCATCGGGTTATCGGTCAGCGCACATTTGGGTTTATCTCTAGGCGGCGTTGCACTCAGCCTCTCCTTCCAGCGTGGGCCAGCCGTTTCATCAGCTGCTAGCAACAAAGCGGCTGCAATTCCAGCCGTCGGGCGGTGGCGGCGGAGGCGCGCGCCCGACTCATTATCGCCCCGCTGACCGGCCGGCGTCGCCCGGCCTCCTCCGTCGCTTCCCGACGTTCGCGCCCCGGCCACTTCAGCTGGCGCTCGCTAGATGTCTCTAGCGTCGGCCGGCCGCGGTCGGCGCGGCACACCGCGTGCAGCCGGTCCGGCGGGGACAAGGCACGGCCCGCGCCGCACCCGCCGCCGCCCCTGGTCCGCGCGACGTCAGGTGATCTGCCGTCGCCTCGGCGGTCCGAGACTGACCGGGCGGCCCACATCGCGCGGCTCGGCCGCCCTCAGCCCCTCGGCGACCCCTGGGCGGTGCAGGTGACTTTCAAGTGAGCGGCGCTGGCGGCGGCCGATGGCCACCGTTCCGCGCGTCTGGGTGGCCGCCACGCTGCTGCTCATCCCCACATCGGCCGTGCAGGACACGCTCTTCATGCAGGAGCTGAGCACGAACGTCTCCCAGATCTTGAACGAGCTGATGAACGAGAACAAGTACGACCGTCGGATCCGGCCCGGCTTCGGCGGTAGCAGGCGCGCTGCGGCCGCCGAGCTGACGCACTTCGGGCCGAGCTGCCGGCCAGCTGTGACCGGGCAGGAGCCGCACCGCATTGTGACCCATCGCAGGAGCTGCACCGCTGCGGCGTGCCCCCCCGGTCCGCAGCACAGATGGGCTGATTAGTAATCGAGTCGTCATCCGGCAAATCAGATTCAGCACCGTCCCTTACGCCCAGGGTGGGAGCGAGTGAGGCATTGCCGACGGCGTGTTCGACTGGGACCGTATAGAAAGGCACGACCGTTTTCGGCCGTGCCGTCTCATATGGCTTACAAACCCCATGAGTGTCGGGCGTTTGAGGGTCGGTTGGTTTATTACTCACTGTGGCTTAATGTAACGGTGATTCTGGGTCCAGCACTCACACCAGCTTGCTCGAATGGCTTCACTTAGTGGCATGACCGCACGCAGTGCCCCAACTCATGCAGGTAGCACCATGCAGTGTGTTTAACTACGCAAAATAAATCCTCTGCGAGCGGAGTTCCAGCATATGCATAGCTAATCGCCTGTTACTGGAAACCTGCGCTCGCTGAACAAAAGATATAGCCTGAAGTATGCACAGCAGAACAGGCCCTCCTGTGACCTCCCCGTGTGCTGGTGTGTGCCTATTTGATAAGTGTTCATGGCTGAGCTCATCCACTGGCTTGACGGGCTTAGCCAGCTGTGAGAGCGTGACCGCGGGGACTTGTAGCTCAACCCCACGGAGATGGATCCGGGGCTGCGTACCCTGGCTGAAACAATGCACGGTTCAGATGAAGAATCTGTGGTTGTTTAACAGCAGGACTTTTATGAGTCCAGTCTGTTCTTGGCTTATCTTTCTCTACACGGGCGTTCCTTCATCTCTCACTGGGCGGGGTTGTCCCACAGGCCCCGACTACGATCTCGGAAACTCTGTTATGTATACATGCCGGAGCCAAGTGGAAAACGGCATGACTTATTCCGCATGCATCTGTTTCATATTAACGCTATTGAGCCTTAGTCCAGGTGATCAACGGCGGATCCAACAAACTAATGAGATGAAATAGATGAATTTAATCACATTTCCAGCCTTGAGAGCTATATGTGTTGTCACACAAGCGGAAACAGTTTTGCAAAACATTCAGTGCACTGAATCATACGCCGATTGTAGTGCATCAGAAGGCGCGACCCGTTACATTACGCGTCATGTTGTATTGTTCAAGCCTTAATGGAGTGAACTTAATCTAGCAGTTTCGTGAACATAAAAGTAAGATACAGCAAGATAAACGACCTGACTAGTGTTGGTCGAAGCGGGTGAAGTTTTCACTATTAAGACGTTAGGCATGTCTGATTACACCATTTAAGATGAAAAGCTATTTCGGTAAACAAATTTGGTCATGGGACCTTTTGACCTAATTTGACCTTCAGTGATCTAGCTTCGGTTATATACTCGCATCCCAATGCAGGGTGCAACGATAAAACAAATGAATGTGGGGAAATGCTTTGGAATATGGGTTCTGTGGTAATCCTACATTATCACACCCCTGAATGCAACATGCGAACGCCATGACCTCGGCATAGAGATGGCGCTAAGTAGCCGGTGAAAGAAAATATCTTTAAATTCTAACAGTCATTGTAAGTATGTTCACAACTCATCCGCTCAACATTTTGGCATCACGCGTATAAAACCCTTAAAATTGACATGCAATTATGTAAAGCATTATGCGTGAATATTTTGGAAGCGTTTTGCAACAACTACAATGGATGAACCTACCAATTATTCGTTCTGGAATCCATCCTCAAGCGTACATCGAACCTGCGTGCCCTATTCCCTGACTGACTTCATTGCATCACTTATTCAGCGTCACATTTGTTGGGTTCGTTTTGGCCTGCTGTTTGTAGGCATTACGAACAGATCGATGCGCATCGATAGCTTAAATTGGCCTCAACTGTTTCGGATATTTGGCGTTAGGTTTTCGTCTCGGTTGGCGATATTTTCCGATGAGTCCAGGTTCATTTGCCGGGATGTCTACGGCGAAGTCTCATTCTACGAGGCTCTTTCAATCTAGTAAGCCGGGGATCGGCGGCCAGTAGTCTTCCCAGCTCGTGGAGGGCTCAGGGCAGAGCCCAGTGTCACGGCCGCCATCGTGCAGGATTAGCACCTGAGCCAGCACGGCCGCCGCTTCGGCAAGGAGCCAGCGGGGCCGTAATTGCTGCAGCACGCGCGAGCTGACGGCTGGGCTCGTCCAGTGCGTGGGAATGCTCCGGCCATGAACTGATCCATGCACTGCATGTTTCGCACAGAATCGTGTTGAGCCATCTGTGCGATCTGGCACCAAGGCTGTCTGATATGAATTTCAGATTAGTGGTGTTATCGTGCATAACTACGGTTGCCTTTAAGCAACGACCGATCTGTCAGTGATTAGATGACCAAACGTTTCGGCAACAGGCGAAATATCAGATGTCCTCGTTCTCTTACATCACCGTAATCCGAAAAATTGGAAAGCATTGGAATGTCTTGAAAACAAGCCGTCTGCGGTTAGCTTAGCAAAGGAAGCGTGGAGACCGGCACGGAGAGACATAATTAACAAGCTATTTATGCAATGCAATCTGCAACTTTAACCCGGAACACTCGTCTATTATCAATGCCTGCGAACCTTGCATAACGCTTTGGGATCAAACCTGAAATCAATGCCTTTAGTTTATGAATTAATTATTTTAATTCAATCCGTTATTTATTTTTTTCTCATTTCTTTCAGAAAAAATCGATTTCATAGAAATAAATAAAATAATTACAAAAATAATAATTCCGTTAATTCAGTCCGTCCCGTTGGCTCAGTTGGTAAGCGCCTGTATTCCGATCCATCCACCCATGGCAGGGTGGGTTAGAGTCGCTTTAGGGCGTTCGCTATTTGCCCTTGGCAGGTATGGCCTGCGGCCGGTGGCAGCGGTCGCGCTAAAGGTCAGTTGACGTCAGAGGGCAGGACGGGCCGTGCCGAGCATTGCGGCACGTTAAGCTTTCGCCCCTAAATTCTGTCGTTGCCTGGAATTGCGCGATCGGATGGTGGGGGTCAGGGCTCGCACAACAAGCACTGCTTAGCGCGAGCGCTGATCCCAGAGATCCATCCATTCAAAGGGTTCGGATCAAATTTATAAAAAAGGAAAAAGCCATCTTTCCAAGTTGCTGAGCGGCATTATTTGGGTCCCTAATTCGGAGACGTGCAGAAGAAACGAAATACAAGCAGGCCACCCCATACTCAAAACGTATGATGACGTGAGCCTTCCGACATCTTGCGGTTGCCATCGAATGCATACACCAGTCACAGAGATGCAGGCAGTTAATATGTCGTCACGTTTTCCGAACACGCATGCCACCATATTGCTACAGATTGCTCTGATACCGGTCCCGACAATACGGTTCATCCAGACACGCGCCAAATGAACATTTTGGCGCCAGATATGTGGAATACATACCTGGCGTGTTGTCTCTGCAATGCCGAGAGGTCCCTGATCTGTCTCACGACGCCCCAATGTTTCATACCTTCGGCTTCCATAAATGATGACCGGATGGTGTAATGAACTACTTTGATGTATTTAATGAATACCCCACTTTGCTCAAACCTTCAGAGGATCCAAAGATCACAGCAATCTGGTTTTACAATAGTCAGAAGCATTCCAAGGTTAATTCAGCGGGCTAAGAATGGGTGCGATTTGGCAAAACAACATTGCGTCACTAAGACTACACAAATTCAACATTGAAATGAAGCGTCATTTTTGCTTGATAATATTACATTTTACTCAGATTATTCACCTCAAGTGGCGGTGCCAGTTCAGTTCTTTTAATTTGTCCCTGTACTTTCCAAAGATCAACTTCATTTGGGATGCCATGCGTACAGCGCATAGGCTTCCTTTTTGTCAACGACCAAGCAACTTTCGTTGGGTCACGTGGTGTAATACTAAATTTTGCAGCAGTGTAAAGACGCACAATTGCACCAAATCATATTGGTGTACCTAAGTGTCATACACACAGGGGCCACCTATGGGCATCCAGGAAACAATAGTTCATCAGCGCATCCGAATTCAAAAGTGTTGCAGCCGCTTCCCTGACCGGTACACCAAAAAGTGTCGCAGCCGCTTCCCTGACCAGTATACCAAAAAGCGTCGCAGCGGCTTCCCTGACCAGTACACCAAAAAGCGTCACAGCCGCTTCCCTGACCAGTACATCAAAAAGTGTCGCAGCCGCTTCCCTGACCAGTACACCAAAAAGTGTCGCAGCCGCTTCCCTGACCAGTACACCAAAAAGTGTCGCAGCCGCTTCGCTGACCAGTACACCAAAAAGCGTCGCAGCCGCTTCCCTGACCAGTACACCAAAAAGGTGGGTTTCCAGCTCTGTCACATGAACAGTGAAAGTCAGGTGTCCTGCGAGCGTTGCGGTTTAGAACTGAGGCGTTCGGTTTACAAGGGTAGGGAGTTCAACTTCGGTCCTTTGTTCTGCCGGGCCCATCAGGACAGGAAACACACGAGGGATCGTGACTGAGGTGAGACAGCTATCTTTTTGAGAGGGCGCCGCGCCGATCACGCTGCTGTTCGGACACACATCACTTTTCAGATACACCAAAGTGCAGGGAGCGAAGGGATGAGGTGGGAGGGTGAAGTCAGTTCCCATATTTGAAAAATGGGTACTCATTGACATTGAGTGGAAGAAGCAAACGTTTCTTGAACAAAACAAGAAGTAAGTGGATAAACCTTGCTTCTTGCATTGCTAGAAACGGGGCCCTGGTTCGCAAATTATGTTTCGGTCCGTATCCTGAGGATTGATCATTTCTCAGTGAAACTGTTTGCCATGTAAGTGACAACCTAATAGCATGCACATGTAATTTTCACGAAAAATTAAAGCTCGTTTATGTTTCTGCGAAGTTTCAGTGCATACAAACAATCTGACATTGAAATGTTTGTTTTCTTGCAAATTCATTAACCCTAAATGGCTAGGCCACGTCTAGTCAACTAATATAAAGT